ACACACACACACACACACACACACACACACACACACACACACACACACACACACACACCACACACACACACCACACACACACACACACACACACACACACACACACACACACACACACACACACACACACACACACACACACACACACACACACACACACACACACACACACACACACACACACACACACACACACACACACACACACACACACCACACACACACACACACACACACACACACACACACACACACACACACACACACACACACACACACACACACACACACACACACACACACACACACACACACACACACACACACCACACACACACACACACACACACACACACACACACACACACACACACACACACACACACACATCACACACACACACACACACAGTCAGTCATACTGCCTTCATGTGGATGTGCATGCAGCTGTGACTGATGTTCTAACGGCCCACAAGGGGATGAGTTACAGTTTGTCCTGCAGGCAGGGCACAGAACAAAGGAGCTTCTTGGGGGACAGAGGGCTCAATGCTGGAGGTTCAATGCTGATTTGCCTCCTTGAACTAACTCCCAAAATGTTTTCACTTCATTGTCAGAATTCCTAAATAAAATTCTCCAACTGAGACGCTATCACCAACCTTAACATCAGACGTGTCTTTTCCAGCAAGGGTATTATACATTTATTTGAGATCTTCCTTTTTTTATCTGAGTGTAATCACCATGGTCTTGAATCAAGGTTGCATTCCTCTCATCGTAGAGATAGAGATAGAGAGGGCTGGGTGCCTTTTGTCTGATGTCAAGAGCAAAGTGAAGAGTTTCTACATACTTTTGGTTGGACTCTGTTCTGCTTTATGCCATTTTATGTTATGTAAAAAGAAGCAGCTTGATATATACTGTAATCACATTTTAAACGAGTCAGAGGTTTAGTTCAAGCCAGGCTGAGGTTTTCTAGTAATTTGTATCAGGATGTGTTGACTATAAGAATGCTCAATATACAGTTTTAAAGAGGCCCTTTTATGCTTCGGAGTTTTCTCTTCCCTGAAGTGTGTTCTATAGGTTTTTGTACATGTAAATGGTCTGAAAAGACTAAAATCCCTGTGTTCCCTTTAGAGGGAGTTTCTCTCCCACACACTCTGAAGCTGAAATACCTCCATTGGACTCCTTTGTTTACTTTCGCGACATCACTATGTTACACTTGCACTTCTATTGGTTAGCTCTCCAACACATTGTACGTGATAGGCTAAGGGGCGGGACATCTCTAAATGGTTGACCAATCACAAAAGAGCTGACAGCTATGACGTATGAGGTGTTCGTCTAGTGTTGTTATAGATAAAGGCAAACTGATTATTTTTCCAGAGTGCTTTATCACACAGCCCTTATTTATATTCTTTGCACACACAAAAAACAAACATCTCATGACATACAATATAACCTTAATCCTAATGGCCGCAGTAATGACTATTACTTAAGAGTTAAGTAAATGGAATTCGATAGACCAAAAAAAACGCCTGAGCTCAGCCAATAAGTTAATGGAAGGTAATTATTCTCTGTCCAGCCATGCTGATCTTGCTCCAAAACAAAAACAGTACTTTAAAATGCCTGTGAATACATTAGCATCAGAGGCCCTGTGTGTGTGTGTGTGTGTGTGTGTGTGTGTGTGTGTGTGTGTGTGTGTGTGTGTGTGTGTGTGTGTGTGTGTGTGTGTGATCCTACAGAGATGTAGATTAGTCTGTCTGTCTCGTGCAATAAGAAATGAAATGCCCTGAGAGTGGATTCATTTCTGCAATATGTATTTTACCAAGTATAAGAACGATAAAGACCTTTCTGAACATTAAAGCATGGAAACATGTCACAGTAGAGGCACAAAATACAAATGTGAGCCCTGTAAATGAGCACAATATGGCCCCATGAAGGTTGTTAAAACGCTTCTTTTTTTTCAGAAACAGAACACAATAAATGACCTCCGTGGCAGCTGCTGGCCTATCAGCAATACCCCTGAAAACAGTATGACATCTTCTGTCCATGAATGCATCAAATTCCAACAAGCTGATATCTTGATTTAAAAAAACAGAGACAATAGAAAAGGCCTTGGTTAAATACTTCCACACATGATCGAGACGAAAATGGAGAAGACATTTACAATTACAGTGTTTACACGCGAAAAATAATCAATTATTCTCAATGAGCTAAAACAAAACATGCCCAACGTTATGCAAGCAAAGCACCAACATGTGTCAAAAGTGCACTCATACACGTCCTTTATGAAAGCACCCATGACAAATTCAAGTGGTTTTCCAGTCATGTGACCCTCATCTCTGGGGGGAAAAAAACTCCAACCAAGTCAGTTTTCATCAAGTATTCATGTGTAGCGAGCCCGAGGTTCATTATACAGTATTTTCCATTCCTGGAAAACGGAGAGACTGCTGCTACTGCAAATAACACAATTTTACCGTATTCATTAACATTATCTGATTGCTGCCTGGACGTCAGCCAGCACTCCCATCAGCCCCAGAGGCATTTCCCATCATGGCTTGGATGACGTGCAGTCAGGGGAGGCAGGGGAGGCAGGGGAGGCAGGGGAGGCAGGGGAGGCAGGGGAGGCAGGGGAGGCAGAGCCTCACCTGTCATACTCCAATGTAACGGAAACACAACTAAAGAAAAACTAAATAGTAATAATAATAAAATGTCTCCACTGATCTGTTTTGTAAATGTGATTTATGTTTGATTCCAATCGCTTTTTATAGTCAAAATCAGCCGAGCTCCGCTACAACTACGGGTAGCGATGAGAAGTGAGGCAGGGACGAGCTCTGCCTCTCGTAAGCCCACAGTAACTGGCTGGAGCGCGGGCACTAATGTAACGCGGGCACTTATTTTGTGAGCGCGCTCAAGCCCGTTACTGTGGGGTAAGGTGAGGCACAGATGAGCTCTGCCCCCACCTCAGAATGCGTCACCCCACAGAAACTGGCTGGAAAGCGGGCCCTAAGCGCATGCCTGCACCATCTCACTGTATGTCACCAATGTAATGTTTGTAGATCCCTTTATTACATTTATCCTCGCCATCCATAGTCTCTAAATAACGTATTTCACGTATATGATATTTAGGCTCGCTGGTCTCATCATACAACGGCATTGAAAAAAGCACCAGGAGAGGCAGCCATAACCTCTGCCGCACTGAAGGGGGCACAAGTGAGCCCACAGGTTCTTGTTGCTACTGTTATTCTACGTAGAGACGGTATACGCGAACAACAAACTAGACTTTTGAAACTAGAGGAAGATAAGGAGGACTTTTACAAAAAAGTAATAGAGATTGTTGTCCAGAAGGATAGCATGGACTTCATCTTCATGTCAAGATAAGACCACAATTGTAATGCAAATGGGATCTTACTAAGAAAGAACAATCCAATATTTAGATTTTGGGTATCCTTTTGTTGAAAAATGAATCGAAGCATCAGACTAAAAAAGCTTTTGAAAATAACCGAATATTTCGATTAAGGTCAAAATATAATATTTGTAAATCTGACTCTGAAAGAGTCAGTGCCTCACCAGCCATGAACCTCACCGCACGTCACTGATTGGATGCACCTGCCTGCTGCAGCCAGTCATCCCCAGAATGTTGCACTAAAGGACTCGAGAGACGGGACTCCCTCAAGGGAATAACTACAGTGCTTTGAAGCTGCACTTACTAAATGGCATCACATAGAGAATAAGTCAAATACTGTCTTAGTTCTATTGCTTTATGGTTTTACCCTCAAGTATAAATCATATCGACTGACAGAGATCTCTTCAGCTGAGCTTGTTTTTAAATAAAATTCAAACCTACACTATTAAGGATTGTTTGAGACTAAAACAAATCCCTGAGTAAAGGAGAGATCAATCAGCAGCTGTTTCCTTCTCCTGTTCTGGTAAGGAAGTTAAGTTATTAAGTGTGGGTGTCATTTGTGGTGCAGCCTGAGCGTTGAACAACAGAAACAACACAATGAAGATTAGATTAGTTTTAGTCAATTATTAGATTAGTCGATCCAAAGAGATTTAATCAAGAGATTTAGATAATCAAATAATCATTCAATCCTCATTTATAAAGACTAATATATAAATAGTTGTTAGTCTGACTTTTATTAGTAGCTGTCAGGTGTTTTCAATCATACAACATGATTTCTCTCAGCACTGTAAATGTTCAAATATGCATTGATTAAACCCGTTAAGGACTTCTTGCCCAATAAAAGTTGAGACAGTGAAACAGTGTCTCACAGCAAAGTCCAAGAAATTGGCTAAAAGCATATATCATCTTCTATAAGCAATTCATCCAAATATGTTCGAGGTTATTGGGATTTTTATCAGATTTGACGACATCACTTAAGGTTCCCTTCAATTGCAACAAGGATTTTTCTCTTTAGATTCAATTGTGAACTCTATGGTTCCAGCGGTAGGTAATTATATTCATATTTTTAGAATGATTTATATATTTATTATATATTTTATAATAATGTCATCATATTATGCAAATGAATAAGATAAGTACTATTTATTTTAACATTATTAAGATTATTCTTTTTGTATTGTTTTATTTATGTATTCATGTATTGTTTTCTTCCAGATTTGAGGGGAAACTGCTAAAGGGTTGTATATTATAAATGTCTCTAACTACTATGCCACATTGTGTTCAATGGCTGTACACTGTCATACTTAAACCCTTGAAAAAAACCTGAAAGTATTTGACATAAAATAACAGAAGTGCAAATACACCATTACAGAAACCATCTCTAAGATGCAAAACAATGATATTTGCAGAAGAAAAAGCCATGACAGGTTTCAGAGATACAGAAAACTGGACTCCTAGACATGCAGCCTGTGTGCTTTCAATCACAGCCGAGGACCGCAAACACACCATGAACACCTGAGGAGAGGCTGATGGTAAAACTGCCTCCTTCAACCAGGCATTTGTCTTTTGATTTAAATGTAAATTATAATCATTGTTATACTTACTCAGAGTTACTTCCCGGACGCTTTCACCTGCCTCCCCTCAGATGGATCAGATCATCCAGATCAGGAGCAGGTTGGAGGCTCGCTCCTCGTCACAGAACCGGATCTGAAGAGGCTCCACAGCGGGCTCCGGCAACCGGCACCGAGAGTAAATCACTCCCAAGCTGCTGGTTCATTTATGTATTTCTGTCCTTCCCCGGTGCAGGTTTGAAGGGTTTTCCGGAGGATCCCTGATTCACGACCTCTCTGCTTTGCGGGGTTCTCCTTGGGAACAGTGCTGCGTTCATGTGTGGCTCGTACAATCAACACTCCCAGTTTCACACGTGGAATATTGGTTCAAAGGTGATGTGTTGTGTGTAATGTTTTATTGTTTGTTTTTCAATATTTATTTGACTACTTTTTGTATGGCAATGCAGTGTATCGTCCGAAGAAAAAATGCACATTGCCAAGAAAACAAGATGTTCTAATAGGTCCTTTGACAAAGCTTAGTAATAGTAATTTGCCCTGACTTGTGCTTAAGATTATGTTTTTTTTATCAAAAAAGCTCAGAGACACTTTTGACTGACTCTCCCTAAGTGAAGTCATAAAAGCAAAATTGAATTGTATTTTTATAGAATACTAAAATATACATACTGTATACATGCATGCCTTTTCTATTTCCGACAGCCAGTGAAGGCAGCACTTACCATAGGACAAACGCTCTCACTCGGCTCCTGATTGGCTCAGAGGTAAAAGGCTGGCTGTGGTCTCCCTCAGCCCATATGGCCCTCCTCACCCCCCACGAGCCTCTCATGGTGGACAGCCTCAGATCAGGGTGGTGTGTTTTCTCTCCATCATTCAGCATTCAGAGTCCATTTAGGAGTGTCTACTTGATCCTCTTCGTTTCAACAAAACATATAAAAACATTAGTGAATTGAGTACTGACACTGATGGGAAAATGTGTTGATATTGGGTATACTGATTAGGGAATAAAATACAACAAAAAGCCAACATTGGTCAGTAGTACCACCATGTTTGACTGTAATATATTCACTATATAAATGGATTAATACTGTACATATCTGTTTGAAATCGTCACAATAAAAACAACAACGTCACTAGTACCATTGCAGTTTAATAAAACCACACATGTTTACATTTCAGTACTGCAGGCAAAGTCATGAACTTGAAACTCAAACAGAACTCAGATTTGAGTCATAAAAAATGATGATTTCACCTTCTTGAGACTTTAGAATGAAAATATTGTGGTTGAGGTTTTTATCTGGTAAATAATAATTCAGAAGGCTATAATAATAATAATAATTAATAATAATTCCTTACATTTATTATAGCGCTTTTCCAGATGCTCAAAGCGCTTTACAAAGGCTATGTCATTGTACGGCTGTCAGAGACCTTGCAATTGGTCTTTTACTTCAGACTTTAAGGCTTTGTTTAAGTTAAGTTGTTAAAAACTTGAGATTTGACTTAGACGTGCCACCCAATTCTATTTTGCTTTTACAACATTTGCACAAAAACTACTCCACTTATATATTTGATATGTGTTGAAAGAGCAGAATATCTTTCTTTCTCCTTCTCTTATTTAACAGTTAACAGTCTAATTACCAAGAGGGATCTGGTGAAGAAGTCAGCATACATTAATTATTAGTCTTTATTAAACAACACCATGCATAAAACATTCATCTCACAAAGAGCAGAGATGCAGAGATGATTTATGCCAGATTTCACTATTAGCTCATTTCCATCTGCAGTCCCTGGGCGCGTAAACACATGACAACACCATTACAGATTCTATCTAACTTGCAATTATACAGGAAGATCAAACCAGTATATATACCAGTACTTTAATCAGTATTGTTATTGTGAAACGCACTAAAGCATCATTAATGATAATCCAAGATTTTATATGGTTCTGAAATAAGTGTGTCAACGTTAAGACAGGCGGGTCGAGAATCCATTATTTACAATTGAGATTCCATTTTTGAGTACTTTTGGTAAGGATATATTTAAAGGTCCCATGTCATGGCCATTTCTACTGATCATATTTCCATTGTTGAGGTATACTAGAATATATTTAAATTGTGCAATTTTCAAAAATCACATTTTTCTCATACTGTTTCTCATCTCTGTATCTGTGTATTCACCAGGTATTCACTCTGTCCTAAACGGCTTGTTGGAGCTCCTTATCGTGCAGTGGGATGTATAAAGGATTTCAGATTTTTTTCGGGTTTTCTGATATTTGTAAAACTTGTAATTTAAGTTTCAGGCAGGGGGGTAAGGTAGGTATGGGTACGTTTATTTATATAGCACATTTTCAGACACAGAGGCAATTCAAAGTGTTCTACATCATCATTAACACTTCACAAGAAGACAACAGAAAGGAACACAATAAATCCACATAATGGAATAACAGATTCATGAAACCCATGCATAAAAGAGATACAGAATGGTTTAACAACAACATTGTAAATACAGTAGGTGTTAAAATAAGTAAAATACTTTTTTTTAAAGAACTCAGCGTTAGTGAAGACCTCGGGGAGTGTGTTCCCTTTGTGGGGAGTTAAAAACTAAAAGCAGCTTCGGAGAGAAAACTCTGGAGTTAACTTTGGGATTTTAGCCTTTGCAGACCCTTTACATGCACAGAAACCTATAACACGCTACAGGAAAGGGAAACCCCATACAAAGCTGAATAGGGCCTCTTTAACCCTTAGATGCCCGACTGGACCCTCACTCTTCCATAAGTGGATCAAAAAGGACCCGTATTAGAATAATATGTGTTTTTTGTGCCATGTTTGTCATTTTGGTTAAGAAAAATCACTTGTATAATATTTAGTATTATATTTTGGTTCACACTAGAAATATTTTATATTTAATTTTTCACTATTTATAATTTTAGACATTTTTTTTACATTTTGAAAAAAAAGTTTTGAACATATCGATGCAAAGATCTCCGCTATTCTGAGACCCTCACAGTGTTCCAGTCCCTTTTCAAAACTCATCTCTTCACCTCTTGTCTACTCATAGCCCCCCCTCCCCATCAATCCATGCTGGTTGATCAAGTTTGATAGTCCTACACCCCCCACCCTAACCTTCCCTTATATTGGAAAGCGATTTTGAGTCCTTGAAAAGCCCTATACAAATATAATGAATTATTATTATTATTATTATTATTATTATTATACTGACAGGTATCAGATCTTGCTGTGTAAAAATAATCTTCCTGAGAGGTGTCACGTGTGATGCAGTCTGTGTGGTCCACAGTGAATGTATTCCTGACAGCAACAGGTGATGAGAATCAAAGGTTCCCAGAGGATCCCATAGGAAATGCATGCGGGTCATTTTTGACCCATTTATTGGGGTAGTGATACAAAAACTACAATTTCTTAAAATCTATAACATTTAAATTAAAAATTTGAATGGCATGATATCCAAAACATGTTTTTGGAGGAATAGCTGGAATATGAAATTATGTAAAATGTAATTACAAAGATACTTCAAGAGAACCACCTCACCGGGTCCAAAAAGACCCACTTATGCATCTAAGGGTTAAGAAAGTGCAGGACTTTTACTTCTGAGACTTCCACTGTTGCAGAAGCAGAAAGAGGCGGACACACAGGAGGATCTCTCTTTCACCGCTGCTACTATCTTACAACCTGGGAACTCTGTATATTGTGGCTCCCCCCTCAGTGTTGTTGATAACAATGGATAGTTGCTCGGAAACAGAAAACCACCTCCTGCAGTCCAAGGGCAAACACCGCAGTAACCGATAGCTCTGGAGGAGGACGGCCACTGTTTGCCTCGTCCATGGAAACAGACCCCTGCTGCTTTCTGTTCACAAGAGATACAGAGAAACAGGACTCCTCTTGTTGTCATCCAGCTCCGTCTACACAGCACTAGAATACATAAAAAATAGGATTATAATCACACAAAACATGAGAAAACGAATTCTTTATTTATTTTATTATTGCCTGAAATAAATGAATACTTTGTTTTTTGTGTTATGTTATTATAGATCGCATGAAACTAAATAATCATGCTTAATTATTTTTGTTTTATTTATTTGTATTGCCTGAAATACAATAATCCTATTTTATTATTATTTGTATTATTATGATGTTTTGTTTGTATGTGGCCCTCCATAACCCCCCAAAAAGGAGGACACTATTTAATATTTAACATATATTATGCATCTTTAAATCTATTCCGTGTATTATACACTTTACTTTATGACCGCTTTGAAACCAAACGTGCTATAGTCTACATTATTTGCAGTGGAAGAAACTGACCCTAGACTGTAGGTCATGGGTCAAAGGTGAAAGAGTGGGCTAATTGTGAACTTCACTTTGAGCTATGTATTACCACTCTGTTGCCTATTTCTATTTTAGATGATCCCTAGCGTCTCCGAAACCAATCTTCTTCCAATACCTTACTACTCACCCACCCTCATAACATGTTGTTTACGTGGACAGGAAGACCACAGAGTGACAAACTGGTGATAATACGTCCGTGTAATCTCCACATTCCCCTTGTTTTAGATGTTGATCCTTGAAGGCAGCAGAGCATATGGCCTCAGTAAAGTGCAGAGAGGGCAGGAATTTAAGGCTTAGGAATCATTAACAGTTTAAAGAAAGGAAACAGATTATTTTTCACTCAGAGACCCTGCAGCCTGTGGAGCTGAAGTCAGTCAGTAAGTGTTTCTGCTGCAGTTCATCAGTCTCTCACTGCCAGACCTTCAGCGGTTCAGCCAGTCTGGATCATTCAGTAATTAGGTTAGCAGCGTTGGTCAGTGTTAGGACCTGTGGGTCGAGATTCTTATATTTACTATGGACACTGATACTCATTTTGAGCTACCTTTATTTGTTAATATGTAATCTAGGGTTGGAAATTATATTTATAGACGGTGGTAATTGTCTTTCATCTTAAATTGTGTCCAAGTGCTGTACAAAATGAAAATAAAAAAGTGAGTAATAATAGGTTGAACATTAAAATAAACACAAGCACTGAAAGAATAAGAAAATATATAATGCCAAAGAAAAATATATGCGCGTAAAAATTAAAAATGTTCAGAAGAAATTTCGAAACAATAACATAACACATTTTTTATAAAGTCTATAGTATTAAACAACATAGTATCAAATATCATGTCTCAAAACAGAGCAATAGATCCAAATAAAATAATTGTTCCGTCCTTTTTCTCTGAAAGAATATAATTTTAGGTATTTCTGGTTTTATAAGTTGAATATTTTGAACATTTTCAA